GGTGGGAAGATGTAGAACTTGTGATTCCATCTACCTGCCTTGGGCCTCCACTCGCAGCAACCTCCTCGTGGTGAGGCCTGGGCAATCGGTATTATCATCGGTAAAGTACTGTAAACTGATGACAATCTAGTAGTAAGACTGATGACAATATTAAGCGCAATAACTTTTTTGTACGCGAAAAAAACCAATAGGTCCATCGGGACTAGAACCCAAGACTCCTTTCTAATACGTCTACTTTACAGTGAACGGACGAAAGAGAATCCGTTCACGACCATGGTCCCTTCGATGTTTTTCCGACGTACCGAACACTCATGATCTGACAACATTGTACTTTAGACTCGACAACACTGTAGAAGTTAGACTAGTTGAGCTCGAATGGATTTCACGTAGTTCACAAATTCACCGTTCTCATAACGTAGAGGGCAGCAGAAAATCCCTGACTTTTTACACTATCGGTATTTCAGAACATGAGACACGAAGTCCCATAAGATGATAGGTCTATCCTATACCTCGTCGGTGATAGGGCCTTCTACCTTACATCGAGCCCCCACCATGTTAAGTTTTGCCGTCGTAGCCATTGCTCTAGCGCCTGCGCAAGAAGTGGATTGTATTGGTGGGCACGGCACGGCGCACGCAACGTTGGAAGAGAGCGAATTTGTGTGCTTGAAAGTAAATGTAAAGTGGAAGTGCCACGAGCGGCAATACATCAAAAGTGTCCTGTGGTGTTGATTCTAATGTTCTACAAACTTAGCATAAGACATAAAGTTATGTCTGTTTAAACAGTAAACTAAGCTTTTAACTATGAGAAGTTTATGAAAAAGAAGTGATTACCACGGTAAACTAACTCGAAAAGTACCATTCCAAGCTCGTTCTTGCGAGAAGACGTGAATTCCATTAAAAATATATACAAGGTTTTTACAAGATGTGATCTTCACGATTTTTTGTAGAAGTTGTGATCTTTACGAATGAGTCTACATACAAAATCTGTGGTACGATTGGAAAAGTTCGGAGAGAACCGAAAACTGCAACGAATATTAAACGTCTTCAATCTGTGGTACAATTTGAATGCTGTTCACAAATAGTGTGGGACTGTATGTTAGGCTTTAACGTTACCTGCACAATATTAATACATAAAAGTGTGTTTCATAACAAAAATTTATGTTAATATTGTTGTACATTATTGTTGTATATTACGATGTATAATATGAACTGTAGAGACGCGAAGTTTGAACTGAATGTGATCGAGGAAGGAATTAGAAGTAAAATTAGATTAAATTTGAAAATTTTACAATTAACAAATGATTCTGTAAATTAATGTATTTCAAAGTTATAAATTAATTAACAATTTGTTTAAACACTTTACAATTTACCTTCTTTCCTTTCTTTAAGAGTACAAATTCATTGCTCGGGCATTAAACGCTTGAAATTCAGAAATTAATAAGAATAAACAAATGTATTGACAGGCAGGGTTCAGTTTATTATAAATAATTATGTAATTTGCTTTTAGTAACTAAAGAAACAATTAATTAACAAAATTTATTTTGACGATAGATTTGTACATTTCGATTTCAGACGTCCAAAAGAAAATTCGTATTTTTCTTAAATGCTACAAATAATTGTATTTGATTTTCTTGCGTAATTGAAACTGTATTTTAGTTTAATTGAGTTAAGTGTTTATTAATAGTTAAATTTATATTAATAAAAGAATAAGTTGGAGTTTAAAAGAAGTTTTCCTTTACAAATTTAAATAATAACGAGCAGAGCTGATCTCTGCTCCACGGGCACCAACTCAGCCCTTCAATTAATTTTGCCCCAAATTTGGATGTAACAATATTAATATTCAGAAATGTATTACATTTGTGAGAACATATCTCACTTTTACTAGTAACCAAATTCGATAAATAGTTACAAATTTTACTTAATCTAAGTATCCCGATTAGCGAACAGATTTTTGTGACTATATTAAACATTTTAATCGATTCATTTTGCTTTTATATCTGATAGAATAAAATCCGTTAAACTGTAATCGACAGTTACTGTATTAGTACGTAAAATCTGTAAACGCAGGTTTAATTTATTTATAATCTTAAACAAGCACCATGATTATACACTTTCCGACTCCGAAATGGATCACGTCGGCCTTTCCTTGACGATACTTCTCTTCGGATATCGCGTTGCTATAAGAAATAACTTAAACTTTCGTAAGGTGAGGCCAAGGTGCCCATGTCAGATTTTCATCTCGCCAACCAGAAAATTTTGCTCAATATTACCAACAAATTCTAAAATACTTTATAAAAGGTAATTCTTATAGACTGTTTGGTCGGTAGTTAATGATTACATATGTATACATATATTACTTTCTCATTTTTTGGCATATCCTCTGATCAACCCGTGATCCTTCTACGTACGCGACAACATCCTTTCATTTACCCTACTGCATATACGGTATATACATTACGTAACAAAGTAATCGCAAATAATTGTATAACAGAACAATGAATGTAAGATGATCCTATGTCTTCTCTATGTATCAGGCTCAAGGCTTCCTCTACGCAATATCTCATCTTTCACCACCTGTCTGAAATTTCAGTGTTGTGAATTATTAAAAGTACACTGCGAATTTGATGCATTTGTAGTACACACACTTATCGGAAACTCGGTAATAAGATTTTCATTTTGTTTACAACTTTATAGACTCCGGGACAGAGGAAACAAATCTCTGTTTGATTCCAATTCGCATAAAAATTTCTAACTGAATGAATATCCGTAGTTTAATCCATAAGAGCTTGCTCATAATCAAATCTTGGTCTGTCACAGCGTTGATTTACCACATTTTTAGTATCGAAGATCTACGATAATCCTACCTAATATAATAGATCCAGTGTTCAATATCTGTGATGAGACTGCGACGGTCTCCACTCAGGCGTGGAATTATCGTGATGATGATGATGATGATGATGATGGCGTTTCTTGTCAGAGATGCTGGCATGCTTGTTGGATGGGTAAGTGGCAACGTCGCTCACAACTAACTCCGAACCATCCCTTTCAGTGTTGTTGCCGCGATAATTTTCTCGGTATCCTGGTTCATCCAGGGTTTCCTTGCGACGGAGCGGTGGATGAGCAACTTTCTGACCAGCGGTCTCGTGCAGGTTCTCCCAAGCCTGTCTGTAATAGTGATTCAAGCCACCTCGACTTTCTGAAGAACTGCTTCCGAAACTAGCTACGGTGTTGCAGTCAGGAGATGCACGGTGTCTGTAGTGCTTACTACTTCTTCCACGATTCCTGTATGAGTAAAAAAATTAATTAATATACAATAAGTAACATCGTTGACATGAAGTTTTCATAGCTCGGCGTCATATAATTTTATTGGTAAGGCGTACGTTGTAAGTCATTTGCTTTTGGAAAAGTTATATTAACCCCTAGTAGCAGAACATATTGAATACATATTCATCCAATATTAAAAAGAGATTCAATCTCTTTTTAATATTTAAATATGCATACAATGTTTATTTCATATTACGACAAAAATATAGAATAAATATGTATTTAATATTGGAAACAAAATATTTTTTTCCGAATATACAAGAAATATTTATATTTTATTATGAAAAATTATCTTTCTCCAAATATAGAGTAGATATTCATTTACTATTAGAAAGAAAATATTTCTTTTGAATATATAAGAAATATTTGTTTCCACTCACTTTTCAGTATTGATTATTGCTAATTTGATCTGAAATTTGGAGGAAAGTGAAATATAATAATTTAACACATAAATGTGGTCCGAGTCTGTGCACGTGCGGAACACTTCTTTATGGTAAGAATCGTCACGGTCGGTGAAATCGGTCGGGGCTGGTCATGGTAGTGTAGCGATCATGTGGATCAGCGGAGACGGTACACCTTGAAGGTTTTATACACCCGCAAAAAAAAAAATAAAACGGTAGGTGAAGGGTATAGGTATTTCTTCCAATTAATTCTATCATGTTGTCATAGCTTACTTATGTAGTACAATATATTTAAAGTCGATTTGCCTGAGTCATTTTGTAGCGAACCCTAATATTAAATAAACGGTAGCGAAAAATTTACGAAGCCGAACGAAAGTGTTTAATAGAGTAGGAAGGTATAATCACGGAGAAGATTAACTTCGGATGCGTGAAACGGCGTATGAAAATTATTTTAATTTTTTTAAAACATTCTTTTCACACTTTCAGTATTTACTTACTATTGTCTAAATATTCACTCATATTTTTTAAATATTTCTTTTATATTCTATGAATATTTAGTATTTGTAAACATTCATTTTATATTTCCTTTATATGTATAGAATATTTGGATTCGATATTTATTTCATATTAAAAAGTGTGGCTAAAAAAATATTTTTTTAATATTTGAAAAACATATTTAAGTAACATTTCTGTACTAGGAATTTCTGTAATAGGGACGTCTCCCCAACATTACAGTTAGCTTGATTCGGGATCAAATAAGGCGATGCATTCACATTAATGCCAGTGTGTTTGCCTCTATTCTGTATTTAATTGAAATTAAGAATATACAGGGTGTAACAAAGATGTTGCAAGACCCTGAAATGGGACACTCGTGAGGCGATTTGGAACGAATCTTTCCTTATACATATACATATATATAGGGTGGTCCACGCAACGTGCTCACCCTGAATAACTTCTACAGTCTGCATTGTATGAAACAAATTTTTCATAGACAAGTTATATGGTTTGGAGGAATATATTATATAATGCATATATTTTTTCGTAAGTGGAAGCATTTCTGAGTTTTGAAGGTCAATTTTGTTTTTTTAAATGGAATGCTATATTGTTTATGTTAAAATATTGAAGAGTGTTAAATTTGGAGTAAAAAAGTACTGAACTTTATTAGAAGTAAACTTAGTAATTAACAAATAATTTCATTTTGTGTCTTGAAAATGGTCTGTGCGTAATATCAAGTTGGAGATTCAATACCAGCAAAGATTTCCGTATGACATCTTCCATTCAGTAACGTAGGTGTTGGGAATGGTGTCCATTCACATTAATACACTGGTGTAATCTATTAATTAACGAGGATACTGCACTCTGAATTATTTCTGCAGCAAGCATACTGCATGCTACACGAATTCGTTCTTTCTTATTCTCTGGTGCTGTTGTTGGTTCACGATACACCATATCTTTTACTGTACCCCACATTATTTATTATTGTAGGTTTTATTTATAATTGCAGGTTTTATTAATTATTGCAGGTTAAAAATTAATATAAATAGTTGTTATAAATTAATTATTGTAAGTTAAACATTAGTATGAAGAGTAGCTATAAATTAATTAGTGTCGGTTAAAAATTAGTGTAAATAATAGTTATAAATGAATTATTTTGGGTGTTAGTTTTGTGTAACGTGTACAGTGGTAAACGCAACGGAGGAACCACGCGCGGGTCTAATTAATCGCGCAGTGTGTGAACATTTTTCGCGGACGAGACAATCAGTAGTGTACGTGCATGTCCGAATTAATTTCATGGATACTCGTGGACAGGACAATTGCTGTACGTGACAACCAGAGAGGGTATTAACCCTCTCTAATCGATAATATTCGTAAGAAGATATTTACATTTCTTGAGAATTTTATCGAATAATCAGAGTTAATGAGATACAAGTGGATTCGACTCAAATACCGCGGCCACAAGTTGTCGACATCTACCGGGAAAATAGACAACTGTTCTACCTACTTTTCCTGCACGTCGTTGAGTTTTTAGAGTGACTGCACGCCCCTTACGAACCTTGCCCCGCTGACACTTCCTGCGTGCGGATTATCATCATTTGGGTCAATTTTTAAACGCTTATAACTAAGAAACGAAGCATTGGCCGCAATTTCGTTATTTTTGATTTTCATCTTATTTTGCCCCAAAGAACTCCTTAAATTTTTTCCCACTAGTGGTCGAATACCCTTTGTATATACATATTTTTATTAAGTATTGTTTTTTACAAGAAATCTATAACCTTGTTGTAATTCTTTGATTTAATTTAATTTGTTAATCCGATATGTACATATTTCATGTCAACAATAATGTGGCCGATTAAAGCGGAGACCGATTATAGTGGGGCCAGATAATCCGGAGTCTACTGTAATTACTTACACTACAACTGCTATTGGTTTATTCTTCAGCAACCAAATACTGTACTTCAATTTGTAACACAAACGAATAGGAAGTGATAGTTTACGAAAAAATATTATAAAACCTTTTGTATGCAGAATTTAATGGTCTTTAATTTCTATCTTAATCATTTTTCAATAGGAATAACCGTTTTTGAGTTATTAACAAAAACCCACTTTTCTTAACCTTTGACCTCAGAAAAAGGGGGAAGCCGGGCATCCCATCGACGGTGATTTTTCAGATGCTCATACTCATCACTAATACAAGCGATTCATAAAGAGTCCAAACTATTTTTAGTTTTTTCACAGAAATTTCTAAAGGAATTTGAATACTGAATTGAATTTCTTCCCCTACCAATCTTTCGTTCACTCCGTGTGTCGTCGTAGGCAAAAGAAGCTTAGAATCCTGTTTCTGTTACTCCATGGGAATGGTGGACTGTCGTGAGGGGCAGCTCTTAGTACTAAAAAGCCAAGTTCGAAATCACTGGGTTATGCGAATGAAATAAAGTGAAAGAATGAAATCAACTCGTGGAACAGTTGAAGAACGCGCCTCTCAAATAGAACAACCCGTCACGTTAGACGTATTTCACGCGTATTTCAATATTCGTACACAATTTCGTCATTCTTGAGTTTTGTCTTAGTTTGGCATGTAAAATCGACCATGTGAAAAGTCCCTCATTTTCATTAACACCCTGTCTAGCATGGGTCTATAATATACGCTCTACCTCCGTGAACGCCCACTTTTCGATGATGTATACAGGGTGGTCCACGCAACTTGCACACCTTAAATAACTTCTAAAGTATGCATTGGATGAACAAATTTTTTATACAAAAGTTGCATGACTTGAAGGGATAAATTATATAGTGTGTATAATTTTTTTTGTGGTGGAGAAATTTCGGAGATTTCAAGGTCAACTTCGTTATTTTAAATGGAATGCTATATTTTGTGTACCAAAATATCGAAGAGTGTTGAATTCTAAGTAAAAAGTATTTGTATAATATATATATTGTATTAGCTCTGTACGGTCATAGCAATCGACCGTCCAAGAGCTGTAATTTGTACAACATTTCAAACCTCCCAATTAACTGTATACTCGGTTATACTGCTTTTGTGGAGCAGGACCCCAGACTGATTTTACAACTAGGCACTTTGCGGGTGACCGACGGCCCATTGATGAAACCGCAACCAGGGCCGTGCGTATCTTACAGATGTATATATGTATAAAAGCAGATATACTATTGGTAGTTAATTAACCCTCCGAGCACGGAACATGGTCACCGGTCCCTATGTCATTTCTGACCCCACACCGATATTCTACTACGACACAGCGACGGCGAAGCTCGAGCTCGAGGCCCTCACCGACACTGTACTAATACAGTGCCAGTAAGGCTCGAGCTCGAGACCCTCACCGATATTACTACGCAGTGGCGGTTGCTCGAGTTCGAGCTCGAGCCACCGTCCCCATGTATACAATGTAATGATTAGCTGGTTCCACATTACATTTGGATTTTCGTGATTCTTAGTACACTAACTAGAATAAAAATCTCGTGAATTATAAAACAAATTACACTAAAAACCAAATAAGACCATAACTGCGAAATGACGAATTTCGGTCTTGTTTTCGCATATTCCTTTCGGTTACCTTAGTTACCAACGTCTTAAACAATTGAGCATCATACATCGAGTGACTGTGAAGTACAAACGTGCCAATTCATAAGTATTCATATATTGAGAAATACTTCATTATGTCACCCGGTGTATGACAAATTCTATCGCCCATGTTACAGAGAGACCTCTGGTGCTCATCCCAGCTGCGCGAAGCAGTTATGGTCTTATTTGGTTTTTAGTGTATATTTATTAGTCAATACTTCTGCGGCATCTTGGCCCGGTCGTTCGCATGTAAACAAACATCGGTCGCTATGCGATTTACACGACAGCTCCGTCACTGCGTGCGTGTCTCTCTCGAAACCGCGCGTCCCCACTCCTGACTCTGTCATTGTGTGCGTGTCACTCTCGAGACCGCGTGTCCTCACTCCCGACTCTGTCACTGTGTGCATGTCGCTCTCGCGAACGCGTGACCCAGGGACCGTGCTCGGAGGGTTAAACAACTACAGTACAGAGACTAATGT